AAGAAAGAAAGAAAGAAAGAAAGAAAGAAAGAAAGAAAGAAAGAAAGGAAGGAAGGAAGGGAGGAAGGAAGAAAGAAAGGAAAAAGAGAAAAAAAGAATAGTCAAGGAAGGGGACCAGTCACCCAGCCATCCAGCAAGCCACAGAGAGTAAGGGTAAGATTTACAGAAGTAACAGAAAGGGAAAGCCCCAGAGGCAAAAGGTAGACGGGATAATGTAAATTAAGCTGACAAGAAACAAGCCAAAATAAGGACAGACATTTATAGTAACAGTAAGACTCCGTGCGTGATTGATTTGGGTGCTGGTTGGTAGGCCCCCAAAAGAGCAAAAACATCATACAACACAAATGTATATCCATTAAGGTCAATTCTATTCATTAGGAAATCTCTGTCTTCTGTTTTGAGGAGATTAATAGCCAGATCTACAGAGACTCCAAGCAGGAAGAGAACACTGAGTCACACACTTATGGCAAACCCGACCTTTGTTAGCATATCTTGCTGGCCACATCTTAGACATTTTTTAAAAAACAAAACTTTCCCACACAGCATCCCTTCTTTGCTATTAACTAGAATGGAAACTAAAGCTGGAAGCACAGACTTTATTTACCATGTAATCTAGAGGTATATTCATTTCTCTCATTTTCTCTAACGTTCACAGGATGTTTACATGTTAATAAACTGTTTTCAACAAAACTCAACGATAGAAGGTGTGTGATGTGTTGTGTTGTAACTTTCCACCCACCATGTTCAGCTGACTGCTACACTGCTTTCCACACTGTAGTGATGTGGATAACTGGATAACAGGAGCAAACGCAGCTGTGATCACTGTGGATGGAGGAGGGAGGAGGGAGGAGGGAGGAGGGAGGAGAGGAAGGGCGGAGAGGCTGCTGTTCAGCTTTCCTCTGTTGTACCCATGACAAAACCAAAGGTAAGATACAAGGTGAGTCTGGCCACATCTCATCTCTGCAAAGCCATCCGGCTCTTCCCTGAGGTTACACTGATGAACCTCAGTGATGAGGGCCCCTCAGTCCTCAGCACCTCAGCCCTTCTGGGAGTCCTCTCACTTGTTCCCTCAAGATGCCTTCCCAGTAGGATGCTGACCCTCTGTAAATGACAGCCAGAGTCATGTGCTGTAATCACTGCCAAAACAGGTTAAATTTGGACCTGTCCAAAAGCAAAAAAGGTTTAGAATGATATTTATTTTGGGAGAATTTACTACATGGCTATTGCATGTTTTATTCAAATCTCCACATTCCTTCATCTATTACTTCTTATGCTTAGAGTCACTCTACTCTCCCCACTTGGAGGACTTTTTCTTTGTTATTTCTCCATTCTACTGAGGGCTCCCTCCACGTGTAGTGGTGTAGGGCAATTGACTTAATGGCCAGAAGCCTCCCAGAGTGACTGTCTCCCTCAGGAGCCATCACTTGCCAATAGCTCCTCCACTCAGGGTGAGACATAGTGAGGCCCTTATGCAGCCATGCTTATTGGATGGCGGGGTTTAGCCTGTGTAAGTGTTGCCTCCCTAGTAAAGGGCACCATGTGTTCAAGCATGAAATGGTACTGACATATCTTGAAATATTTTAATATTTCTACTGCTACAATACAGACACCTACTATAACTGGCTATGAAATTCTTTACTGTTCACTTCTTGGAATAATAGCATTAAATTCTCCCTAGAGGTTATTACCTCGTCGGACACAAGTTTATCACCAAGATAACATCACAGCAGTTACAGTTTGTGGAATAAGGTTCAAATGCAGTCAGAAAATGATTGGTTGCTCCACACCTTTCCTGCATTTATTGCTCTGTGGGCACTGCTGCTTTTATCTGAGGCACAGCAGCTGCACCTGATACTAAAGCTGCCTCAGCTGATGACTGCACCTCTGCAGCCACTGCTGCTGCCTTGCTTTGGAGGCCTTAGATGGGAAGAGCCTTCTAGTCTCTATCCTTTTATTTTACCAATAAGGATTCCAGAGCCAGACCTGCTAGCTCAGAGAGGCAGAGCTTCTTACACACCAAGGGGGATGTTACAGGAGCTTGGATGACTCCACTGGGAAAAACAACAGTAACTATGGCACGGCCCAGATCTCAGATTCCAGGTAACCAATGGACAAAGCTAGGACATGGTAAAGGTTTCACTGAACATTTATAGTTACAGAAGATGGAGACTTATTAATAAAGGCAAGTTTTAAACACATGGCTTGAACAAACTGCTGGGAGCAAAGAGAAGTCTCTGCTGTTCTCTGATGACATTCTTAGCATTTGAACTGTTCTATGGTAGATGCTCATGTTGACATCCAAAATGATTAACTTTATATTCTCCCACATGGATTCATGAGAGTTGGATAAGATCTGAATTGTTAGCAAAGTGATCTGACTACACTTCACAAAATCATGGAGTTTGTAGTCAGAATGAATCATTTGATGTGTTTTAAGGGTTGATGAAGTAAACTTTTAAGGCATTTGTAGGATTTTTCTTCTGTATGAACTATATCATCTGTTGAGTAAGGCTGTAAAGATTCGCAAAGTCTTTGCTACATTCGCCACACTTTTACGAATTGTCTTCAGAATGAATTTTTGTTTTATGTCGTCTAAGTGATGTAGATGAGGAAAATCTTCTGTCACACTCTTCACACTTGTAGGGGTTCTCTCCAGTATGAAGTTTCTTGTGTTTCCTAAAGGAGCCGTGGTAACGAAAGGCTTTGTGACATTCCTCACAATTGTAGGGTTTCTTTCCAGTATGAATTGATTGATGTTCCTGAAAATCCCTAGAGCAGTAATACTGTTTGCCGCACTCTGCACACTTGTAGGGATTGTCTTCAGAATGAATTGTTTGATGTCGCTTAAGGGCTGAACATGTGGAAAAACATTTATCACACTCCTCACACTTATACGGTTTCTCTCCAGTGTGGACTGGCTGGTGCTGATGAAGGTATGCAAAGGAGGAGAACCTTTTGCCACACACTGCACACGTGTAGGGATTGTCTTCCCAGTGAATTGGTTGATGTCGTCTAAGGGATGAGCAGTTGGTAAAACGTTTGCCACACACCACACACTTGTATGGTTTCTCTCCAGTGTGGACTCCCTGGTGTTGATGAAGGGAGGCAGAGCAGGAGAACCTTTTGCCACACTCCGCACACGTGTAGGGATTGTCTTCAGAATGGATGATTTGATGGTTTCTAAAAGATGAAACATAGTAAAAACACTTGCCACACTCCGCACACGTGTACGTTTTCTCTGCAGTATGAGCTGCCTTGTCCTCAATGAGGAAGGCAGGCTTAGGAAATTCTTTCCCTCGCACTCTACACCTGCGGAGTCTCTCTCCAGTGTGAACTGCCTTGTGGTACTTAAAGGATGAATGATAAAGAAACGTCTTGTGACACTCTTCACACTGGTATGGTTTCCCTCCACAAGGAAGGCTTTGATGCATTTTCAGTAATGAAGGGTCATAAAAAGCTCTGCCACATTCTTCGCACTTGTAGGGTTTCTCTCCAGAATGAATTCTTTGATGTTGCTTTAGCATTGAAGGATAGTAAAATGATCTGCCACAGTCTCCACACTTGTAGGATTTTTCATCAGTATGATTTTTCTGGTGTATAAAAAGTGATGAGCAAGTACTGAAGGCCTTGTGACATTCTTTACACGTGTAGGGTTTTTCTCCAGTGTGAAGTCTCTTGTGTATAGAAAGTGTTTTATGAGAACTTAGGGTCTTACCACATTCTTCACACTTGTAGCGTTTTTCTCCAGTGTGAAGTCTCTTGTGTATAGAAAGTGTTTTATGAGAACGAAGGGCCTTACCACATTCTTCACACTTGTAGCGTTTCTCCCTTCTACGAATTCTCTGGTGTTGAATGTGTCGTGAGTTACAGTCAATGGCCTTGTTGTAAACGTGATACTCACTGAGTCTTGTTCCTGTTGAGCCTAGTTGAGACATGAAGAAAGGCTAGAAAATATTCTTCATACTTAATGTTTATCTATTTACAAGGAAACATTTACTCAAACATACTGAAGCATCAGTGATAAGCTGTAGCAGGAATTCTAATTGTTCTCAACAATAAAAACTTGGAGTCAGTTATTGGGGGTGCAGGCTGAAGGGTCAGAAAAGCAGAGTGGCCAGCCACTTGAGTTCTTACCTCTACTAATGCCCAGACAAAAGGGATGAGCCAGTTCCTAGATTGCGTCCTCAGACTTCATCCTCAGACTCACTGCTCCTCAGACTGCAATGAGCTCCTGTAGCCTCCTGCCTTATATTCCTCTCTTGGTCCAGCCATATCCCTTCCTATCTCCAGCTGCTTAGTGTTGGGATTAATGGTGTCCAACTCTCAAATACCGGGATTAAAGGTGTGAGTCACCACTGCTTGGCTCTGTTTCTTTTTTAGACTGGATCAATTTTATGTAGTCTTGAACTAACAGAGATCCATCTGCCTCTGTTTCCCAAGTGCTGGCATTAATGGTCTATGCCACCACTATCTAGCCTCTATGGCTAACTAGTGTGGTTAGCTCTACACCCTGATTTTCAGGCAAGCTTCATTTGTTAGATTATAAACAAAATATCACCACAAGAAACTACAGTATATTTTAAAAGCTCTAGGCACTAAGCATAAATGATAAAATATTGGAGGTAGAAATAATCTATCCTTTTACTAGAATAAGGGCACATCCAAATAGAGCATAGACATAATGGTATATTATTTGAAGTTTAATAGCAAAGTAATTTGTAAGGGCATTGGGCATTTTACTAACAGAAATAAATCCACTAAACAATGGAGGTGTTCTATGTCGGGACACTCATGAAATTATAAATTAGCCAATCCGGGAAAGGAGACAGTTAACTGTGACTGTGTGAATGACAGGCACCATCTAAATACAAACTTTTTATCTCCACATATAATTTTATTTTGAAAGGCATAAAAGAGAAGCTGTACAAGAAGTAGATGGTTCAAGAAAAGATTAAATTTATAGATCAAAAAGTCAGGTCAGTATTTTATGTTTTATCTGGACAACAAGAAAATATATACCTCAAACATATCAAGGCACAATTAAAAAAAAAAACTTCAAGTTCACCTGAGTCTTACACAACAATGGAAAATCAACAAAAAGAAAAACCTTGGAGGTCACTTTAAATAAAAGCACACCTCACTGTTGGGGAGACACAAAGAGAAACCATCATAAACATCTGAGAGATGTGCTTGGAAAACAAAGACATTAAGGAGAGACCTAAAGAATGATTTCCATGGTATCATGTGTCAAGGCACATGGCAAAGGCTGACTTTCTGTTGAATACTTGGACCTCAGCTCTGCCCCTGAACCCCGCATCCTACACACCTGGGTGCACGCTGGCTGCTGCTTGTCTCTTCCCAACTGAAGGCTCTGGTCTTTGCTCCAGAAATGTCACCAGGTGTGGCTTAGGGACACCAAGACCTGTTTGTAGATAAAGGGAACAAGATTGTTTGAGTGTCCTTCTACTGGGAACTGACATGTCCCTTCCAATACATCATTTATAAGGAAAGAGGTGAAGTAATAAATAGTTACAGATAATCAGATTCTAAAATGTTCTCTGACAAGATCAGTACAATACATAAATTAATTTATAACATCCAGATTCTGAGTTTCATTTAATGGAAACAAATAATAAAGCTGAATTCTATAACACTTTAACTAAAAAGTATGTTCCATGTCTCATGCCATTGAATTTTTAACATTCCCACTATACTAAAGGAAACAAATATCCAACACAGAAAGGCTAGACACAAAAAGAGAAAAGTGAAATGATTTTTTTAGTAATTTAATTTTATTTTTTGGTGTTTTGCCTGCATGTATGTCTTTGTAACGATGTCACATCTTAGAATTATAGACAGCAATAAGCTGCCATGCTAGGAATTGAACTCCGGTCCTCTAAAAGAGCAGTCAGTGCTCTTAACTACTGAGCAATCTCTCCAGTCCCAAAGTGATACTAAACACAGCAGTCTCTCTAATTTTCTGAAATCAAGGGATAGGACTCCTGCTGCTGAAATGCTCTCAAGAGATACTGTACAGAAGGAGTAAGCTATATGTTAATGGTGAAATAGAATTTGCTATAGATGAGATCCTCACCCAGGAATTCAAGGTGGCTGTAATTCTCCAACATCACATCCCTGTACAGATTCCACTGAGCAGGCTCCAGGCATTCCCTCTCTTGAGGAGAGAACTCAATGGCCACATCTGAGAAGGACAGCATTTCCTGAAATAAAGATCAATGAATGATCTCACACTTTAATTAAAACCATTGATAATAGAAATACTAAGATACATTGGGCTGGATAGTTTTCCTGTGAACTGAACACTAGCTGGGGTCATTTGAGAAGAGAAAAGCATAATTGAGAAAACGTCTCCCTAGGAATGTCTTGTAGGGAAGCCTATAGCATTTTCTTAATTAATGATTGCTAGAACACCGCACAGCCCACTATGCCACTCCCCTGAGCACGCAGTTCTAGCCAGTATAGGAATGTTCGCTGGGCAAGTGGTCTCGGCTCCAATTCTTGCCTCATGTTCCTGCCATTTAGTTTTATCTCAGACAAATCAGGTCCCTTAGGCAGGCAAGGTAAACAAATGCAACACATCTTTCCATAGCTAAACTAATATTCCACAACAAGAAAGTCCCCAAGTGTTGGCTTCCTGATGTCAATGGTCCATTGAAGGGATCGGTACATCTCCAACTCCTGTGCTTTATGATGCTTTTATTCTTTTAAGCTTATGATTTTGTCTTCATAACAAGATCAGTTTAAAACTGGATCACCGGTCCCACTGTCCTCCAAATGACTCCCAGCACCCTCTTAATCTGCAGTTGGGCTCCACACACTCCAGCTTCAGCACCGTCTCTACGGTGGTTTGAGTCTTTTTCTGGAAGATAGGCTGTCTGCCCATCATAGCCACTCTGCTTACTGCCCAGCACTGCTTTCCTGGGCATACAAAGAACCCTTGATCTTCTTGTCCTGTATCATTTTACATGGGGATGGTCCTGGCCACATTTCTTGCAGAACATATGGGGGATCTTAGAAAAGTTCACCGTGTTGGTGGGAATGATATCAGCACAGCTTTACAATTCTTGATGTCTAACATATTTCTATTTTATATGAGTTTCAGTTCATTATATTTAACATATTGATGAGATCATGTGTAATTTACATGTATCTACCTGAAATAACTTCCAGTTTTACCAATTGTCAAAATTTGACTATCTTTTTTTTTTCCTGAAAAATATAAGTATGTAACCGGGCAATGGTAGAGCATGCCTTTAATCCCAGCACTTGGAAGGCAGAGGCAGACAGAGCTACTTCCAGGACAGGTAGGGCTAATGGGCTATTACACAGAAAAACCCTGTCTCAAAAAACCAAAAATAGAGTGTGTGTGTGTGTGTGTGTGTGAGAGAGAGAGAGAGAGAGAGAGAGAGAGATTTACCCCTCTATCTCCTCATTGCAACTTCTCTCATGTCCCCCAACAGTCTGTCTTAAATATATGGTATATTCTTCTCTAATTGTTATTGTTACACACATGCACAGACACAGCACAAAAATATGTGTGTGTCTCTCTCTATATATGTATATAGATTATATATATATACAACACACATATATATGTACATTACACATAAGTATAAAAATATGAATGGCCTAGTCTGCTCAGTGTTACCTGTGTGGATATTTTGGTGACTGACCACTTGTTACTCAGTGAATAGTGATTAGGCTGATCCCTGGGAAAGACTAATTCCCCCTCTCCTAGCAGTTATTAGAAGCATATAATACTTTGTTTAGCCAGCAGATCGCCCCCTGCAGGGGATCTTGTGCCACTGCCATTGTTCAGGCAGTCAAATTCTTGGGGTATCATGGGTGCAGCTTCCCATCCCTTTCTAGAAGGCACAACCTCAGAGCAGACTTCCTGGACCCATGGATCTCAGAATCAATACGGATCCTCTCCAGAGACATTCCCTGAGCCCTCTGCACAGGAATTGTGGTGTGGTGTATCTACTGGGTCAGGGCATCACAAGACAATAGTTCTCTGGATTTGCACACTTTAGTTTTCCGTAACGCTCTCTGTGCTGCAGTGAGCAGTGTCTTTATCAGCAGTGACAGCCACACTTCAGTGTAGGTCTAAGGAAAAGCATCTGGAATGCAGTTAGCAACTGTGCCGCTTTAGTGGCTCCAGTACATTCTCCTCTGTGACTTAGGAACTAAGAAGTCATCAGAGACAAGGGCTGCTGATGCCGAGATGTGGGAGACACTGGGGCACCTTTAGGGATTTAATGCCATACTGCTCATGGGTGTGGTTCAGGGGCACAACAGCTAAGTAGGATTATTTATTGCTTCTCTCCCTTGCAAAGCACCTTCCAGCACTAAGAAAATTCACCCTTAGGCAGGAGACCTTCAGGTCAGATCCGGCTCCAATCCCTGAGTCTTGTCTCTGAAGGCCAATATGCTTTCACCATTGGAAAGAGGGAGAAACTTAACATCACAAAACTTTAGGGACAACTGAAATATATCCTCCAGGAAAAAAATGATTACATAGAAAATGTCTTTAAATAAAGGGCAGAGCTGAACAGCAATAAGGCCAGCAGATGTTCAAGAACCAGGCAAAACAAAATAATTTGGTGAATAGAAACACCCAGTGATTTCTCAAGGGCACAGAAGTTGAACTATTTTAGAAGCTTCTTCATAGCTAGTACAGAATGTTACCACCTTTAGAAGTGAGTGAAAAAAAAAATAGATCCCACTCTTTAAACCAGGGCAGTGATTCTCAATATGTGGGTCATGACCCTTTGGAAAACCTTCATCTCCAAACTTATTCACATTAAATAACTTAGGAAAATCAGTTATGAAGCAGCAAAAGGAAGGGGACAGGACTGCTCGACAAGAACAACCATTGTGGGCCAAGCAGACATCCCCGTTTTACACTTAGTCCACCCTACATTACAGATGGAGGCCCTATCAAGGGTTAAGAAAACCCAGCCGCCAAGGTGAACTTGCAGTTCAGTTTCCCTGTTGCGCATTCTGCTTTGCACCGGGTCCCCCACTCCGCACGTCTGCAGCCTGTGTGTTCTCTCACCCTAGCCAACGCTCTCCTACAGCAGCTGATTCCGGCAGTCTGCATTTCAGAATTTCCCACCAGCGACCTGTTGCGCCAAAGGTTTTTCATCTGTGAATTCTTTAACTGGCAGAGAAGATGAACATAATCAAGACCTCAGGCCCGTTACACTAGCCTGGCTACAGAGAACAGGAAGGACCAGAAACCCGTTTACTCTAAAGATAATGAGAAATCCGACAACATCCATGGGAGAATGGGTCAGAAGTGAAGCAGGCTTCCCCACCAAAGCTGCTCAGTGAGCTCCCAGCTCCCCCTCAGGAGCAGGCAGTCAGCTGACCATCCTTAGCTTGCAACCCTGGACCTCGCACTGTCATCTACTCCGTGCTCCAGGCTGCTCTCCTGTCCCAGTGAGAAGACCCCTGCCTGTCTGCCCTTGCAGCTACCCCCGCCTGCTTCGAGGAATTTCCGTTGCGACTATAGTCCAAACCAGGTCAAGCTGTTCCCAGGCCAGTATAATCACTCTGAGGCCAGACGGGCCCCTGATGATGAAAAAAAAGGATATCTGTGGTCAGATACCTGGAGGTCAGCCTTCGGCCGACAGGAAGACAAAAGGGAGCAGGAAGCCCAGAGTGTGCTGAAATGAGCCTTAACTAATTCCCATGTATTCAAGATGAATAGACAACCCTGTCCCTGACCTGACCCCATCGTCTTACCTGAAATAACTACTGAGAACCCTGTAACCATGCATTCCCCTGACCTGACCCCATCGTCTTATCTGAAATAATCACTGAGAACGCATCCGCTTCTGTAAGCCCGCTTCTTGCTATATAATCAGCCCCGACCGGCACGCGCAGTCACCCGAAGGCTGTAGTGCCCTGTGAACAATAAAAAATACCTCTTGCTTTTGCATTCAGTGCGGACTGGTCTTGGTTCTTGGGTGTCGGGGTCCCCGAGGGGAAGACACCCGAATCGGGGGTCTTTCACCAGAAGCCCAAGGCGGGCTCGGGCTGCACGTGGCGTCCTAAGGAAACCACCACTCAAGGCACAGTTCCTGTCGCCCTCACCCTAGCCCTGACCCGCAACCTCAGGCGTCCCAGCCAGTTGAGCACAGCACCTCCAAGGCAGCTTCTCCCGCCCTCCCACCCAGCCCAGGTCCGCTCCCTCCAAGACGGACCCGCACCCCACACAGTGCCTCAGACTGCGATGTACCCTGCACCAACCTTCATGTCATAGATGCAACAGGAATGGGCAGCAGGCGGGACTCTCGTCCAACTTTGAGGAAGAAGCACTTGTACACATCAAAAGTCGGAAGAGAATTTTTGGACCTCTTCCTGTGATGTCATAGTCGTGTGGACTACATGTCCCAGAAGTCTGTGCGAAGGCATGCCTGGAAACCTGGCGTGTTTATGTTTACTCTTCTTGGATTTGTGTTTGGCTGTCTTCAGTAGAGTGTGGGAGGAAGAAACAGAGTGGACTGGACAGTTGTTCGATCTGAAAAAAAAAAAAAACCTGTTGCGTGAATATCTGATTACAGCAAGTTTTATTTTGCAGAAGCACAGGAACTGGCCAACTGGCTTTCTCTCACAAAGTCTGTATTTCAGAGAGCAGCCCCTCATTGCCTTTTGGGTTACTTTTTTTGGAAAGAGTTAGGGCTAATAGAAAACAGCTGTCCAGATAATTGGCCCCTAGAACGGATGAAATGAAAAGAAGCTGAAGTCGAATAAAAACATCGGCAATCAAACACCTTACTGAGCACCATAACCTCTGCCCTGGAAACCTCTGAGAGTTTCACTTTCTTCTCTTCCTAGGAAACGCAATCCATTCTCTACGTCCCTTAGACTCTATAGTCAGAAGACAGTCAAAGCCCAAAGTTTCTTGACTTCGTAATTTAAACAATTGTTTATCCCACGGTGCTGACAAGATTATGACTTCAACGTGCCATGGAACGGTGGGCACCTGCCATTCCAGAAGGGAGGAATAGTTATCTAGTAAGGAAAGATAAGAATAAGGAATACAGAAATGCAGAGGGAAATTCCAAACCCCGCAGCATCACCTGCATAGCATCTGAGGGTCCTCATTGTCTAGACTTGGCTGTGCTTCTGTCATGAGTATATGATGAGTTTCCAACACAGCTTAGTTGTCATCTGCATGTTGCGTTGTTAATTGGTTCTCTTTATCCTGCTGCAAAGCTCCATGTTGATTTACACATTGCACCTTAGTGTCTACAAAAGTAGTACAATGTGGACAGTGCCATCAAGTTCTGCTTCAGTCTTGGGATAGAGCCAGACCCCATAGTAGGGTTTACTTTCTCCCTGGGTTCTGACCCAGGAGAAACTTTCCTAGAAGTGGAGTTTTGAGCCTGGTCCTCTACAAAAATCCCTCACCTTACAAATGAAATTACACTTCCATAAGACAGAGATGTCCATGGGTGTGCTCTTGGCTCAAAGCACATTTAGGATTGGCTCAAAGTACCGGGATGACCAATATTGACCTTCCTCTCTCTGACAACTACAGCAGATCTCACACTGTCTATAACTGTAAAGCCACTGTGGTCTTAGAAGGAAAATGGCACCTATAGAGTCATAGGGTTGAATGCTTGTGCACCAGTTGATAGGAACTGTTGGCTAAGGATTAGGAGGTGTGGCTTTCTCATGAGGGATGTGTCACTGGGGTGGGCTATAAATATGCAGAATCCCAAGCCATTCCCAGATGGCTTTATCTGTCTCCTATTGTAGATACAAATGTAACCTGTCGGTGCTGCTCAAGAACCATGCCTGCCCATTTAATATTATGCTCCCTCCCCAGGAGAGCACATTTTCACAATGAAACATGAGCCAAGAATTATTTATATATTCTATTAATAGAAAATAAGTTGGTAAATATAAATGTATATGTTTATTATATATATTCATACGTATGTATATATATATATATACACACACAGCAGGGATCCTATTTAGCTCTAACAAAGAATAATCACAAATTTACTGAAAAAATGGATGGACATCAAATGAATATAAGTTGAAGTCATCCAATTGTTGTTGATTGTTTCACTCTTTGGGGATCCCCCAACCCAGCTCCCAAATAAATACAGAGTATTATTATTTTCATAAGTATAAATGCTTGGCCTTAACTTGGCTTGTTTCTTTCCAGCTTTCCTTAATTTAAATTGTTCCATCTAATTTTACTTCTTTTTTTTTTACATCTATTTCTTACTTCTGTATTCTTACTTTCACTCTTACTCAGTGGTTGACTGTGTAGCTGGGTGCGTGGCCCCTGATATCCTCCTCGTTCTCTGACTCGTTCTTTTTCTCTCCTAGATTTCTCCTTCTATTTATCCTCTCTACCTGCCTACCCTGCCTATTCTTTCTCCTGCCTCACTATTGGCCATTCAGTTCTTCGTTAGACCATCAGGTGTTTTATACTGGCACAGTAACACAGCTTCACAGAGTTAAACAAGTGGAATGTAATCAAAATAACACACCTTAAAATAACATTTTATATCATTTCTCCCTTTTTTTTTAAAAAGAAAGGTTTTATTTCTAACATAACTACATACAACAAAAAGTTATCAAGCAAGATTACATTTAAAATATTCAGTTCATTTATATTTAGCAAATTCAGAAAAAAACAATCCATTATCTATCCTATCTTAGTGAATCCAAAGTCTTATATAAAATTTACTTTGTATCATAACTGGGAAAAACTGCAACTGTAACTTTCTAGTCTTCAACTCCATCAGAGACCCAGAAAGAAGTAATATTATCTAACAACAGAGATGTTTGGCTACTTGGACAGTCACCCAGAGTTCCTCTGCAATGTTGGAACATCCATCTTCAGTCTACAGGCATAAAGTATTTAGCAGACTTTTCTATGAAGCAGGAATTTTGGACTCTCCTATCTCGTTTGGGCAAAGTTCATCAGTTCCTTTTCTCTGTGTCCTGCACACTGTATGACATTCTTCTGTGAAGCAGGAATTTTGAAGGACTCTCCTGTCTTGTTTTGGCAAAGTTCAACAGTCCTTTTCCCATGTGTCCTGAAAGTCCAGGCTGCACAGCACATTGTCAGCAAAGGTAAGAGAAATTTCTTTGCCCAGTAGCTAACCTTGCCACAGTTAAAGAAAACTCCAGAAGGGGTTTCTTCAGTGTTCATCATCTCTGAAATAAATTGGTGCTGCCAGGAGCAGATGTGTCTCCTTGTCATGAAAAACACTGTATTAACAAAGCATTTTAAATGCCATTATTTTATAGGTCTTTGATGTATTTGAAAACCATTTATCTATCTAAAATATATCTATATGATGTTGAAAACGTGCCTAACATTTGGCTGTTACAGATAACTACTAAGCTGTTTCGTGATTATCATACTTTATAATAGCTTTCAAAATCTAGAATTTTACCTCATATTTTTAAATAAACTTCATAGGTACAATATCTTAAACAAGAGTAGAGGCATATATACTGTGTTATAACAAAAATTACCTTAAATTTGCATCAATATACAAAAGTCCTATAAACAAGAATAGAAACACACACACACACATATACTGTAACAAACATTTGTATCAATATAATATATTCCCCTAAATGATAATGAACATCCATATTCCACCAAATAACCAAAGACCATTCACAGCCCCCAAATCTTTGGGAATATGGATGTTGTTTTCTCCAAACTGCTTCCTGCTGTTTGTGGATGAAGTATCTTTAAGGTCCCAGAGAGAAAATTTACGATAATGGCCAAGTCCTGGTAAGACCAGCTAAAATTTTGTTGATCAATATCACCTATCAAGATTCTATATGTTTTACTCCTGAGCTTGTGAGTATCTGCTAAACTATTTACTCCCGAGAGTGTGTGTTTGGTATACTTCATATACAAATTGGTCCTTTGTAAAGCTTTCCCCACAGACTGTAGTTCTAAAAAAACATTCTCCTGTAGAACAAATATACATCCCTTAAAGTCATTTCTGTTCATAACGAAACCTCCCTGTGTTCTGAGGAAATTAATAACCACATCTGCAGGGAGCAAACACTGACTCACATACACATGGCAAACCTGACCTTTGCTCTAGTGCATTGATGACATCTTAGATATTTTTAGAAACAGAACCTTCCCACACAGCAGCCTTTCTTTGTTACTAACTAGATGGAAATTAAAGCCAGGAGCATAGATTCTATTTATCATGTAATCGAGAGGCTTATCTATGTCTCTGGGTTTTCTCTAATCTGCATGCAATGTTTACATGTTCATAAACTGTTTTTAGCAAAACTCAATGCCAGAAGGTATGTGCTGTGTTGTAACTCTCTACCCACCAAGTTCATTTGACTGCTACACTCCTTTCCTCTTTATCGATGTGGATAACAAGGACCAAAGCTGCCGTGACGGCTGTGGATGTAGGAGGGAGGGAAGAGAGGGTGGAGAAGCCACTGTTCATCCTTCCTCTTCTGTACAATGGCAAAGCCATGTGGAAGATACAAGGTGAGTCTGGCCTCATCTCATGTCTGCAAAGCCATTCCTGTCTTTTCCCTGAAGTTACACTGATGCAGAGCCCCTCAGTCCTCAGCATCTGAGCCCTTCTGGGATTCCTCTCACCTGCTCCCTCAAGATGACACTTTATGACAGCCAGTGTCATGTGCTGTAATCACTGCTAAAACAGGTCAAGTTTTGACATGTCCAAAATAAAAACATTTAGAATATTTATTTCAGGAGAATTTAATACACAGATATTGCCTGTTTTACTCAAATCTCCACACTCCTTCACCTATTACTTCTAACCCTTAAAATCACGTTCCTCTCCGAAATTGGTGGGCTTTTTCTCTGTTATTTCTTCATTCCTTTTAGGGCTCCCTCAAAGTGTATGGGTGTTGGAGAGTTGACTGGAACCCGTAAGCCTTACAGGTTGACTATTTCACTCAGGAGCCTTCAATTGCCAATAGCTCCTCCAGTCAGGGTGAGACACAGTGAGATCTTTATGCCTCCATGCTTATTGTATGGCAGGGTTTAAACCATGTAAGTGCTGTCCAGGTAGTCATAGCCACATGGTGTTCATGCATGCAACGGTACTGACATTTCTAGCAATGTTCCACTGTCCTAGAAATCTTTCAACATTTCTACTGTTTCAGAGCAGACATCTACTATACCTGGCTCCGAAGTTCTTTCCACTTCTTCTCCCGCAGGAATCCCCGACTTTTGGCTTTAGAAGTGTGTAAGGGACCTCTTCCACAGTGTGTGACACAAGCATCACTTTTAGATTAGGCCCCTCCCAGGCTAATGTTCTCTACACTTTGACCGAATTGTGTCCTAGTGTTATTCTCCACTTCCACACAATTATTAATTTTTTGGTGAGGGTTGAGAGGTGCCTGACGGCGGGTATAAAGTGGAGAACTTGGGTTCATTACTATCCACACATTAGAATAACAGCATTACATTCTCCAAAGGATTTATCACCTACTCAGGCACTAGTTTATCACCAAATTAACATCACATCAGTTACAGTTTGTGGAAGGAACTTTGAATCCAGAATACGACTGGTTACTCTCATAACTTTCTTCCATTATTGCTCAATGGACACACTTGTCTTTTTTATCTGAAGCAAAGCAGCTGCACCTAAGACCTCATTACCTCAGCTGATAACTGAGCCTCTGCAGCTGATGCTGCTGACTTGCTGGGGAGGAATTAGAGCAGCAGAGTGTTCATGTACTTTTAACTAAGTCTCTAGCCTTTATTTGCCAACAGGATTCTGGACCCAGACACTGGGTGAACACCTGCTAGCTCAGAGAGGCAGAGCTTCTTACACACCAAGGGGAGATGTTACAGGAGCTTGGATGACTCCACTGGGAAAAACAACAGTAACTATGGCACAGCCCAGATCTCAGATTCCAGGTAACCAATGGACAAAGCTAGGACATGGTAAAGGTTTTATGGAGCATTTATGGTTACAGAAGGTAGAGACTCATTAATAAAGGGAAGTTTCAAACACACTGCTGAACAAACTGTTGGGGGTTACAGCAAAGAGAAGTCTCTGCTGTTCTCTGATGACATTCTTAGCATCCGTGCTGTTTGTAAGTTAGGCATTCATATTAGCGTTGCAAATAATTAATGGATTCATTTAGGTTGGATAAGATATGAATTGTTGACAAAGATTTTACGACACTTCTCACATTCATGGAGTTTATAGTCAGAATGAATCATCTGATGTGTTTCAAGGGTTGAAGAGGTATTTATTTCCAGTGAAAACACTGACAATCTCCTCTTGGCATTTTCTTTCTTTTTTATTGCTTTATAAATAGTAAGAGAAGGCAGGGTACCCTGACTTGTGGGAAGTCCAAGGCCCTCCTCCCCTCCATCCAGTCCTAGGATGGTGTGAATCCAAATAGACTAGGATCCCAAAAAGCCAGTACATGCAGTAGAATCAAATCCCAATAGAACCTTCATCCGGCGATGGATGGAGATAGAAACAGAGATCCACATTGGAGCAATGGACTAAGCTCCCAAGGTCCAGATGAAGAGCAGAAGGAGAGAGAACATGAGCAAGGAAGTCAGGACCACGAGAGACGCGTCCACCCACTGAAACGGTGTGACTGATCTAATGGGAGCTCACCAAGGCCAGCTGGACTGGGACTGGAAGAGGTAAACTTTTAAAGACATTTGTAGGATTCTCTCCCGTATGAACATAAAGATTAACACACTTCGATGAATTGTCTTCAGAGTGAATTTTTGTTTGTTTTTTATGTCACTAAGGTCTGAAGAACAGGAAAAAACTATCACTCTCTTCACACCGTTAGGGTTTCTCTCTAGTCTGAACTCTCCTGTGGTTGCTAAGAGATGCATGATAAGGAAAGGCTTTGCCACATTCTTCACACTTGGATGGGGTTTCTCTCTAGTGGGAATTCGTTAATGTGACAGAAGATCTTTATAACGGGAATAGTGTTCGCCACATTCTACACACTTATAGGGAATGCCTTCATAATGGATTTTTGGATGTCGTCTAAGGAATAAAGATGAGATAACAGCTGCCACAGATTTCACACAGATTGTGTGGATGTGAGCCAAGGCAGTGAGATAATGTAGGAACTGGAGGAATTGTCTTCAGAGTGAATTCTTTTATGTCTCTGAAGGGATGAAGAGGAGCAAAAACCTCTGCCACACTCTTCACACTTGTAGGGTTTCTCTCCTGTATGAACTGTCTTGTGTCTCAGAAGGGATGAGCGATAAGGAAAGGGTTTCTGACGTACTTCACATTTGTACAATTTCTTTCTAGAATGAACTTGTTAACGTTTCTGCAGCCCTACAGAATAGTTAAATGCTCACCACATTCATCACACTTGTAGGGTTTCTCTCTAGAATGAATTATTTGATGTCTCTTCAGTGCTCCCTTACAGGAAAATGATTTGCCACACTCGTCACACTTGTAGGGGCTGTCTTTGGAGTGAATTGCTTGATGTTCTCTAAAGTATGGAAATGAGGAAAAGCATTTGCCACACACTTCACACCTGTAGGGTTTCTCTCCAGAATGAGTCTTTTGATGTTGCTTCAGCATTGAAGGATAGTAAAATGATCTGCCACAGTCTCCACACTTGTAGGGTTTCTCATCAGTATGATTTTTCTGGTGTATAGAAAGTGATGAGCGAGTATTGAAGGCCTTGTGACATTCTTCACACGTGTAGGGTTTTTCTCCAGTGTGAAGTCTCTGGTGTATGGAAAGAGTTCTATGAGAACTAAGGCCCTTACCACACTCTTCACACTTGTAGCGTTTCTCCCTTCTATGAATTCTCTGGTGTTGAATATGTAATGAGTTACAAACAGTGGCCTTGTTGTAAATGTTATAATCATTGGGTGTTGTTCCTGTTGAGCAAAAGTTGAGATATGAACAAAAGCAAAGAAATGTTCTTCATATTCCCACACTTACATTTTTAAAAGGAAACACTCAGACATTTTGAAGCATCAATGAGAAAGTATATATTTCAAAACATATAGGCACTGAGCATAAATGACAAAGTATTGGAGGGAGAAATAATGTATCCTTCCGCTAAAATCAGGGCACAACCAAATGGAACAGACATAATGGCATAGTGTTCAAAGCTAAATAGCTAAGTGTGCGGTAAGGGCATTTTACTAACAGAAACAAACCCATTAAAGAACAGAGACGTTCTGTGGCTGGACACCCATTTAAACTATAAAGTAGTCAAGCCTGGAAAAGAGAAAGTTAAATAGGATTGTGTGAGTGTGAGATTATAAACAACTACCGAGTCCTAAATAGAGAGAGAGAATGAACATGGCATAGAAACAAGAAACTTGTGTTTTCCAGTGAAGTAGAAATTCAAAGCAGAGCTCATATATATTTTTAATCTTATACTATCCTGATATACTTTATCAATATGCTTTTTCCATCTACCAGTGTACACAGGGAATGCATAACAAATGCTTATAGGTTATACACACCTCCAAATAATACCAAAGAAGAACAAATTTCAAAGTGAAGAAAAGAAATCTGAACCCACAAAGTTTAGAAAGCTTACTGGGGAATCATTAAACACATTCTCCCAGGTACAGACAGTTTAAGTCATTGACTATGCATGCATCCACTAAAGGCATGAATTTTATATCCTTATTACTTAGTGTATGATAAAGAAAAAAGTTAGAATATATCTTCTTCAAAGACAAAGAACTCTGGTGGGGTGACTTTCCTCAAGGTGAGTGTAGGCGACCTGAAAGAAACTCACGTGCCAAGTTAGTTTCATACCTAGGTGTTTTGAAATGTGAGCAATTTTTCAGATGTGCAGAAAACAGTATGGAATCTGTTAGTGAATTACCCAAAGTGACTCAGTTTCCCCTGAGTTTTACACACCTGTTCCCCCAACTAAATCCTGCTGAGAAAATGTTATCAGGCAGCTTCCCTGGCAGCTGTGGAAGATCCACTGTTTTACGCCACAAAACAAATTGTTTGACTCAACGGAACTAAAAGTTTTCCATTCAAATTGGTTGTGGTCCCCCCCACTCCACCCCCATGTCTAGTATGATGAAATTGTGGCTTTAAAAACCCAATTAAACTAGTGTTAGAGAGTGCTGGGGCAACCAATGTATTTCTGACATAAACCCAACCTTGTCCTTCTTGTCCTCCAATGGGGCAGGTTCAGGTATTTTTTTTTCCTGAGACAGGGTTTTTCTGTAGATTTGGTGCCTGTCCTAAAACTCTCTCTGTAGACTAGACTGGTCTCAAACTCACAACAATCTAATTGTCTCAGCCTCCTGAGTGCTGGGATTAATGATGTGTGCCACCACCGCACTAGCAGTGTGGGTACTTTTGTCTGGTCCAGATTCTGGTAAAACACCTGACAGCGACTCCTTCCCTAGGGTCTCTTTTAAGAGTAAAGATGTTAACTGAAGAAGTAATGACAAAATCTTCAGTAAATCCACGTCTTTTGTCATCTCTGTGGATGCTGAGGGTGAGCACAGTCCCCTCCATCTATGCGGTCACAGCTATCCTTCTGTGCCTTACTCTTTGCCGCTTTCCCTGCCCTTCCTTGTGGAACAGAGAGTCAGCCACTCTCAAGGCTACTTGAAGCTGTGGGTTCCGCTGTCTTCCCGCCTGTGCTCCGTGAGTGGTGCCAACATCCTCTCTGAGGCTGCATTCGTTCCAGTACTAAGGGAACTCATTAGACTGGAACTCTTTCTCTAGACCAGGCTGGCCTCAAACTCACAGCGATCCACCTGTCCTGTCCCTGCCTCCTGAGTGCTGGGCTTAAAGGTGTGCATCACCTCTGCCCAGCAAGTGTGAAATTTTTTAAACAAAGATGAATTACTTTCGTTTATCAAGTCCTAATCTGATGAAAATTACTAATTTTTTGCAAACTGTTACAACGAAGGTAATGAAGAGAGAACAGTTAAGTGAGGAGACCTAATGAGTGATGAAATACACGTAGTGTTCCTAAAGTTGTCTTCCTATTCATGCTAAATACAGATGTATACATTCAGGCCATATACAAATCTAATTCAACAGACACAATATTAGAGGGAGAATAAAATTTCTACCTTCCATTCCAAGAAAGTCAAGCCTTGCTGTGGAAAATTATTTTAAGGTGTGTTATATTTGTTTGTAGTGGTATTTCATTTGTATTTCAATAAATAAAGCTTGCTGGACGATCAGAAAAGTAAAACAGCCACACTGGCCAGCCTTACAGACCAGGCAGCAGTGACACACACCTTTAATCCCAGTAGCCACACTACATTGCCGTAGAAACCAGGCAGTAGTGGTGCATGCCCTTAATCCCAGAACTAGAGAGGATGATAAAACATGAGCCAGCTCTCAGTCTCAGTCTGAGATATCTGGACGCTGGATCGCCATTGCAGACTGACATAGATCTATGTGCCAGTGGTTGGCTGTTTTGTTTTTCAGACCTTCATGGTGAACCCTAATTTCTGTCTTTGAGTTTTTATTGATCGTGCTTCATTTGTTTATGTGCTGGATCATTTGTTTAACAATGTAAAGATGTGTTGCTTTTGTTTGTCCTGTATTTGTTTAACTCTGTGAACCTGTGACTCTTTGCCTGTCTAAAACACCTGATGGGCTAATAAAGCTCTGAACAGCCAATAGCGAGGCAGGAAAAAGAATAGGCGAGGCTGGCAGGCAGAGAGAATAAATAGGAGAAGAAATCTGGGGAGAAGAAGGTGAGCGAGAACAAGGACGTCAGGGACCAGTCATCCAGCTACCCAGCCAGACAGGGAGTAAGACCTACAGAAGTGAGACAGATAGAAGCCCAAAGACAAAAGGTAGATGATAATTTAAGAAAAGCTGGTTTGATGAGCCAAGTTCACACCCCGCCCATCAGCGAGTAAGAATAAGGAAGGCTCTGTGTGAAATTTATTCGGGAGCTGGGTGGCGGCCCCCAAGAGAGTAAGGGACAAAAGAGTAAGAGCGAAAAGCAACAAACAGCACTTTGGTGTTCCAACATAGCTCAGGAAAAAAGAAAACCCAACAACAAAGCCCAAAGCAGATAACTGAAACAAAAGAGGGCTCAGATGTGTTGAGAAACTGGCTAATTGGGCCAGAAGTGGTGACGCACACCTTTAATCCCCGTACTCAGGAGCAGAAAGATCTTTGTGGGTTCAAGGCCAGCCTGGTCTACATAGCCAGGGCCGCACAGAGAAACCCTGTTTTGAAAAGAGCAAAGACAACAAAAGGAAAACAGAGAAAACTGGTTATTGAAATCGAAGGCTTGCACGATTGAGTAAGAAGAGTTAAATCTACACTATGCTTGCGCGGCAGGACATGACCACGACAGGTGAGCACACTTATCCGAGGATGGGGCACAGCCCTGCTGGAATTAGTGGCACAGGAGAAGGGTGCATGGGGAATAGGGCTCGTCAGTGCCTGCAGCTCCTGTCCTGTGGCCTGTGGGCCAGACCAGAAAATCCTGTTCCTTATCTGAAGGGAAGATGAGTCGCTCCTCAGGCCCCACAGCACAGGAGGGAGATTCCCTCATGCTGAGGAGGATCTTAGATTCTGCACCACACTCCAAATGTGCCAGACAATGGAGACCCTCATTGCAATTATCCTGAACTGATAGCTGAGGCTCCCGGTGGAACCTTTCACCTTGACTGCTACCCAACTATTACACGCTACTTGAAACAGACATGCCCGGTCCCCTGGCTTTGAATTTTCTCTTCTGAAGGAACCTTACCCCAGAGCTGAGATGGCCATGCCTGATTCTGTAAGGAGTCCTCAGCAAAGCGGTATATAATATATGACAGGGTCAGTCAACACAGCAGGCTGAACTCTGGGCACTGATGTAAACTAGGTTGCATGTGCCACCTGTGGACCCACCACATCAGGTGACGAGAGCAACACAGCCTGAGGAGGAGGCGAGTGGACTGTGAAAGCTCACCCAGAGCAGCCATCCTGAGTTACCTGCCAGAGACATCTGGACCAGCTCCTCTGCTGTGGAACATGGTTTTGTACAATATAAATATGTATTACTCTCATTGTTAATAAAAGCTAACTGGTTGCTGGTTAGGCAGAATTTTCTGGACATAAAGAATGCTTGGAAGAAGAAGGGCAGAGGGAGAGGAGTAGCCAGGATATTAAGAGAGAAAGAAGACGAATGTACCGTGTTGAAAGAAGGTACACCATATGGCAGAGGGTACATAAGGAATATGGGTTAATTTAAAATGTAAGAACTAGCTAAAAACAAGTCTAAGTTATTGGCTGAGCATATAATATTATAATTACATTATTATAATTAATTTTATAATTTTATTATTATAATTAATTAAGTATCTGTTTTGGTTATTTTGGATTAGCTACCGGGACAGGAAACCTCCACCTACAGATGGTAACCCAATGTGGCACACCTATATCTACATAAGAACTGCCAAAGCTGAAAAAATATTTTAAATACAGAAAAACAGAGCCAAACACTGCTTCCCAGTGTGATGTTGCTCATTCCGGATGCAGTACATGCATCTCCTGGCAGCTGCCTGTGAACTTGAACCAACAGTCCTGCCAGCACGCTGCTTGTTGGGTTTGGGGTTCTGTTCATACAAACAGAAAACATTACTGCTGCTCAATACAGGCAGATCCAGACTGTAAACACCGCTTAGTGGGTTTCAAAGTGTTTAAAAATGTACAGAGCCTGGGAAGAGAAAAGAGGACATAGACAGCCATACATACATACATACATACACACACAAACACATACATACATACACACATACATACATATGTACACACACAAACACATACATACATATGTACACACACATACATACATACATGCATACATGCATATAGTTTAAAAATAATTAAGTGTAAGTCCTTAAAAAGGGAGTAAGCAGTACAAAACCAAAAAACAATGTAAAGAGGAAGACACACAGTGTCTGGATTCTGTATGCTATTGTGTTGTCTCTGGATTTTCTGGCTGCTAATGTAGGAACAACAGCTGCTAAAACACATTGGAAGATGAAAACTGCTGGATTAAGTCAACCCATACATTTTTAAAAGGTTGACTATAAAAAAGAAGTCAAAAAATATGTTACATTGGGAGAGAGGTTATGCTTTCCTTTCCACAGGAAATCAGAGGCTTTGGATTCACTCCAGGTTGATATGGATCAGGTTTGATCAAGGAAGACCCCTGATGATCTTGGCTACAAACATAAAAAAAATTAACCTAGAAAAGCTACAAAACATATGATGCATTTTTTTACATGCTCAAATAAAAAACATCATCTTTGGCTAATATGAAACAATCCTTCTGTACACTGTAAAGATGTCTTGCTCTCATTGTTAATAAAAAGTTGATTGGCCACTGGCTAGACAGGATTACTGAGGCAGAGAGAATGCTAGGAGGAAGAAGGACAGAGTCAGAGGAGCAACCAGGACACAGAAAAGCAAGAGATAAATATGCCATATGGAAAAAAGATATAAAAAAATGTAACTAAGATATACTTGGAGGACATTTGACAGTCAACAGGAGACCTTGAGAAAAAGGTACCACACGCTCTCCTTGTCCCACTAGACTCATGGTAATATTAGCCAAAATACTTTTTATAGGTCTACTGCCACAGCGGTTACCTTGACTGAACCTGAAGCAAAACATTTCACTACTTTGATGTAACTGAGAACATCAGGTTTATACATAAATCTAACAAGCTGTGACTGAGAATATATCCAAATAACAGATCTAACGTGATAAATATATTAACTTGAAAAAAAACAATACAAACCCCCAAAAGACATGGAGACTTACAACTCACAAAAAGGCCTAAATCTAAACTGCCATGAAAGAGAAGCACACATTCATTATACCCAAAACTGGTCTGATGGGCATCCCTGAATCAACAATGTAAGACCTCATCCAGTCCTAATCTTCCTAGGTCTAACAGACAGGACCTGCTGAATCAACTGGTGGTAAAAGTGTTGGGAAAAAACCAGCCCCAATTAAATTAGTGTACCGAGTGCCTCAATACAACCCCTTTAAACAATACGTTAATGCTTTGACTCTTCCCTAAGACCAGTGGGACTCCGGTTTGTCTGAGTTTTATCCAGCTGCTGACCAACCCCAAATTGTTCTAATCAACAGAACTGACACTGTTCAGCCTGTCACTGCCTGCCCCTCTGTGATGTGGGTTGGCCTTTATAATCCCAATCATGTTCACTTCAGTGTAGACATCTTTCTGGCGTGAGTCTGCAAGTAAATGACTCTCAGTCTGACCGACATTGGCTTCTCCTTCCCCGAGTCTTACATGGCAATGGGAACTCAACAAAAAGGAAAACCTTGGAAGTCACTGTAAATTGAAGCACAGCTTGCTGTTGGGAAAACACAGAGGTTAAGAGACTTAAACCCCCATAAACCCCTGAGACACATGCTTTGACAACAAAGACCTGAAGGAGAGACCTAAAGAATGATTCCCATGGTATCATGTGTCAAGGCACATGGGAAAGCCTATCTTTCTGTTGGATCTTTGGGTCTCAACTCTGCCCCTGAATCTGTAATTCCGACACACCTGGATGCACGCTGGCTGCTGTTTGTCTCTTCCCATCTGAAGGCTCTGGTCTTTGCTCCAGAAATGTCACCAGGTGCGGCTTAGAGACAGCAAGACCTGTTTGTAGAAAATGGAACAAGATTGAGTGTTCCTCTGGGTGGAATTGACATGTCCCTTACAATACCTGGCATATGAGGAAAGATATTATGTAATAAATGATTGCAGAATTTTAGTTCCTTAAATGTTTTTAACAGGTTCATCATTACAATACGTAAAAAAATCACAACATTCATGTTCTATGTTTCATTTAATGGGAAAAAATTAATTCTGAATTGTGAAACTTTAATTAACAAGTGTACTCAATGTCTCAGGTTATTGAATTTCTAGCAGTTTCGCTAGAGTGAAGAAAACAGACATCCAATACAGAAAGGTTAAATGAAAAAAGGAGAAAAGCAGTAAAATGATTGTTTTTAAATCATCTGTTTGTATTTTTATGTGCATTAGTGCTTGGCCTGCATGTATATCTGTTTGAGTGTGTCAGATCTTAAAATTACAGACAGTGGATGCTGAGATTGAATCCCAGTCCTCTAGAAGAGCAGTCAGTGCTCTTAACCACTGGCTCATCTCTTGGCCCTGAAATTATTCTTAATACAGCAATCTCCCAAATACTTGAGAAAACAAAGGATATGATTCCTGCTGTTGAAATGCTCCCAACAGATACCGTACAGATGGAGGAAGCTACAAGTTGATGGTGAAATAAGAAGTCACTACAGATGAGATGCTCACCCAGGAATTCAAGGTTGCTGTAGTTCTCCAACATCACATCCCTGTACAGACTCCACTGAGCAGGCTCCAGACATTCCCTCTCTTCTGGAGAGAACTCAATGGCCACATCCCAGAAGGACAGCATTTCCTGAAATAAAGATCAGTGAATGATACCACGCTTTAATTAAAGCCATTAATAATATAAATATCGAGATGCATTGAGCTAGCTGGGGTCATTTGAGGGAACCAGAACATAATGCAGAAAACGCCTCTCTAAGACATTTCTGTAGGAAAGCCTAGAGGATATCTTCTTAATTAGCTGTATATGGGACAGCACAGCCCACTATGGGTGGTGCCCACCATGAGCAGGCAGTCCTTTATGGTACAGGGGAGCAGACTGGGCAAGTCAGTAAGCAGTGTTCTGTGGTCTCTGCTCCAGTACTTGCCTCAAGTTCCTGTCTTGACTTCTCTCAGCGATGGACTGTGACCTGAAGTTAGAGTCTAAAATAAACCTTTTCTTCTCCCAGCTGTCCTTCATCATGGTCTTTATCATGGGTGTCAGGCTGGCTGGCCCCCAGCATCTCCCTCTGTCTCTGCCTCCTACATTCCTTCTCGTACTTGCTCTGTCTGCCCTGAAGTCGCACCTGTATCTCCTGCCTAGCTATTGGCCATTTAACTTTTTATCAGACGATTAGGTAGACAAGGTGAACATAAGCACCACAGCTTTACAGTGTTAAACAATCCATAAACAAATGGAAAATCTCTTTACAAAGTGAAACTAATATTCCCAAACAAGGGCGTCCCCAAGTGTTGGCTTCCTGATGTCACTAGACAATGGAAAAAAACCACCACTCCTCCAACTTCCGTGCCTATGATTCTTTATGTTGAACATAGCTGTGTCTAATATGAGTTACAGTTCATTGCATTAAACATAGTAATGACATCAGGTTATTTATCTTGGCCTGAAATCACTTCTAGTTTCACCAGTGTTGTCACAATTGACAAGAGGGTACTTTTCTCCGAACAATTACTAAATTAAAATATACACATGTCATTTTCCACTCTACCTTCTAATTACAACTTCTCTCCTGTCCCCCAACTCTCCATCTCAAATATGAAGTGCATTCTTCTCAAATTATTGTTACCTACACACAGTACAAAACTGCATATAACTATATTTAACTTTATAATTATGAATGGCCTACTCTGTTCACTGTTGCCTGTGTGTATGTTTTGGGGACTGACCACTGGTTACCGGATGAATAGTGAGTGGACTCATCCCCGGGGAAGACTAATTCTCCCTCCATTAGCAGTTATCAGGTGCCTATATCTCTGTGTGGAGAGCACATTGCCCACTGTAGTGGATCTTGTGCCATTGTCAGGGCTTGTTCAAGCAGTCATATTGTTGAGGTATCATGGGAGCAGCTTCCCTTCCCTTTCTAGAAGGCACAACCTCACACCTTCCTGAACACCCGACTCTCATAATCAATCTCTTCCCTCTAAAGAGATATTCCCTAAGCCATATGTGCAGGAATTGCGGAGTGGTGCATCTACTGGGTCAGGGCAGCGCACGACAATAGTTCTCGTCACTTTGTAAGTTTTATTTTTCTGTAATGCTCTCTGCGTTGCAGCGAGGAAGGCCCTTGAAGAGAAGAGACAGCTACACTGACCTAAATGTAGATCTAAGGATGAGTGTTCGGAATGCAGTTAGGGATGATGGTGCTTTAGTGGCATTAGTACGCTCTCCTGTACGATTTAAGACCTAAAGCATTACGTCAGTCCTCCTGTTCCCTGTAAGTTCCATTGACAACTGCAGGAATGCCCAGATGTGGGAGGGACTGGGGTACCTTTAGGGATATGAGGCCACACTGCTCGTAGTTGTGTTTCAGATATAACAGCTAAGCAGGACTATCTATTGCTTCTCTCCCTTGGAGCTCACAAAGCACCTTCCAGCACTAAGAAAAGTCACTCTTAGGCAGGAGACCTTCAGGTCAGGCCCAGCTCCAATTTCCTGAGTCTTGTGTCTGAAAGGCATGGTGTTTTCAGCATTGGGAGGGGGCAGTGGCCTATCATCACAAGACTTTAGGGACAACGAAACATATCTGCCATAAAGAATGACTACATAGCCGGGCGGTGATAGCGCACACCTTTAACCCCAGCACTTGGGAGGAGGAGGCAGGCAGACCCCAGAGAGTTCAAGTACAGCCTGGTCTACAAAGTGAGTTCCAAGATAGCCTGAACTGCTACACAGAGAAACCCTGTATTACAAATAAATGAATAAATAAATAAATAAAGGCAGGCTACATAGAAAATTATCTTTAACTAAAGAGCAGAGATGAAATTCAGTGAGGGGCAAGCAGATCTTCAAGAAACAGAATGAGGCAATCTGGTAATTAAAACACGCAGTATTTCTCAGGGAAAAGAAGCTTTGGAAGCTTCTTTGTAGCGAGTGTAGAAGGTTACCACTTCTACAAGTGAAAAAAATCGATCTCACGCTTTTCTAACCAAGGCAGTGGTTCTCAACATGTGGCACAGGACCTCTTTGGAAACCTTAATCTCCAAAAATATTTGCATTACAATAAACAACCTTAGCAAAATTACAGTTCTGAAGCAGCAAGGGAAATGATTTTATGGTTGGGGGTCACCACAATAGGAGGAACTGTATTAAAGGGTCACAGCATTAGGAAGGTAAGACTGCAGAACTATGGTGTTATGGAAAAGAGGAAAAAATTGCCGGGAGGTGGTTGTACGCGCCTTTAATCTGAGCACTCGGGAGGCAGAGGCAGGTGGATCCAGGTAGAAAGCTGTGAGTTCAAGGCCAGCCTGGTCTACAAGAGCTAGTTCCAGGACAGGCTCCCAAACTACAGAGAAACCCTGTCTCAAAAAATCAAAAAAAGAAGAAGGAGGAGGAGGAGGAGGAAGAGGAAGAGAAGAGAAAGAGGAAGACCCCCCATGTTCACATACTATGTTAAAATCTGCTGAAACTTAACTGAGCCATAGAAAGAAAGCCCCCAGGCTCAGCTAATGACTCTGCGAAATTTAGCTGGGCCATAGAAGGAAAGTCGTCCCCCCCCCACTCCCACCCCTGGCCCAGCCAATGCTAAAACAGGATATCTATGGGTTACAGACTCACTGACTAGGCTGAGGAGAGGGAGTACCCCACCCCCAAGGCATTCTATCGAAACTGTCAACTTGCTGCAGGATTCTCTATCTAGCTTTGTGGTTTTTCAGGGAAATTTGGGAATAGACATGGGGCCATTCCCAGGGTGAGCTAAGCCCGCCAATTTGAGAACCAATGAAATGCTTGTTGCTATGCAGCCTCTTATGTAACTCTTAGATCCCTAAAATACATAATGTGCCTTCAGCCAGGCATGCTCAGTAACTTGGTTGTTGTAGCATCCATAGGCATCTGTGTATCCAATAAACTGCCTCTTGCTCTTGCATCCAGTGGACTGGTTCTTGGACAGAGGGCTCCAAGTGAGACCCCCTGACAGCTGGGGTCTTTGAAACTTCATGAATAAACTTTGGATCATCTTTCTCAGTTTCTGTATGTTCATCTACTCAAACACTGAAAATCAAGCTTCAGAAATGTACCCTACATAATGTTTACATACATTCAGCATTAGAGGAAATAGTACTGTCAGCACAGACTGCCTTCTTACCACACTGTTGAAGATAATCTATTGTTTTGTAAATCCCCAAGGCTCAGCTTCCTGCTGTCCATGGCTGCATTTCCAACTTCTGTGAGTTACAACACTATGCATGGTCACTCAATGTGGCCAAGTGGTACTTATCTGTCTCTGCCTGAAATAATTTCCAGTTTCAGCCATATTATCACAACTGACCAGACTGGTTTGTTTTTCTGAAGAATTGCAAAATTAAAATATAATTACATCAGTCTCCCCCTCCTCATTCCAACTCCTCTCTTGTTCATCTCAAATGTATGAGATCTTTTATTATTATTATTATTATATTATTATTATTATTAGTGTGTGTGTGTGTGTGTGTGTGTGTGTGTGTGTGTGTGTGTGTAGACAGGAAGTGACATGGCTGGGCAGAGAGAATGTAAGGCAGCAGGAAACTGAAGCTCAGCCGATTCAGTCTGAGAATTTCAGGGAGTTCTTTGATAGTGGCAGCTCCTTTACTTCTCTGATCTTTCAGCATTTACCCGATAATCAGACTTTGGACGTTTATTATTAAGTCCAATTAGAATGTCACTACAGCTCTCTGTCACAGACTCGGGTAGAATAGGCTGACGTGGAATTTGTTGTGAAGCAAGGGAGAACCAGAGGGCCCTGCCTCCCCCTCACAAATGCAGAGATGACAGGGATGTGCCTCAGAGGAGACTGACGTTTCTTTTCTATCACAGGTCTGGTTACTAAAATCACAGAATACACATAGGTCTGGGAGTTCTCCTCACCTGCTGACTGGACACAAAAGCCTGGCGCTGTAACACAAGGCCATGAGAGCTTTTCACCTGCTCCTAGGGACCCTGCTTCTGGACCAGCTCAACAAGCTCAAGACCACATCAAGACGTTGAGACAACCATTGCGGGCCAAGCAGACATCCTGTCGTTTTCACAGTTAGTCGGCCTACATTAGGGATGGGGGACCTTTCAAGGCTTTAAGAAAACGAGATGAGGCCTGGAGTCAGCCTCTCCATTTCCTTCTTCCGGCAGAGGGTCCTCTGTGTGGGGGCTGTATGTGTGTTCTCTTACCCCTAACCAAAACTTTTCTGTAGCAGCTGATTCTGGAAGATCTATCTGCTGTGTTCCAGAATTTTCCACATGCTACCTGTTGGGCCTCAGATTTTTCTTCTCTTAATTCTTTAACTGGAGACAAAATGAACGCAATCAAGACCTCAAGACCACTACACTAGGCCAGTTACAGAGCACAGGAGCAGTCAGACTCCGCGTGTACTCTTCAGATACTGAGTAATCTCACAGCATCCATAGGAGAATGGGTCAGAAGTGAAGCAGGCTTCCCCACCAAAGCTGCTCAGTGAGCTCCCAGCTCCCCCTCAGGAGCAGGCAGTCAGCTGACCATCCTTAGCTTGCAACCCTGGACCTTGCACTATCAACTACTCTGCGTTCCCAGGCTGCTCTCCTGTCCCAGAAGCCCAAGGTAGACTGGGGCTACACGTGGCGCCCTAAGGAAACCATCACTCAGGGCACAGTTCCTGTAGCCCTCACCCCAACCCTGACCTGCAACCTCAGGCGTCCCAGCCAGTTGAGCACAGCACCTCCAAGGCAGCTTCTCCGGCCCTCCCACCCAGCCCAGGTCCGCTCCCTCTAAGACGGCCCCGCACCCCGCACAGTGCCTCAGGCAGCTCTGCAGCCTGGACCAACCTCCATGTCACAGACACAACAGAAATGCACCGCAGGCGGGGCTCTCGCTCATCTTTGAGGAAGACGCACACGTGGAAACCAAAGCTGGAATGGGATATCCTGGGCGGCTTCTTGTGACGTCACAGTCTCAGGGATTCCATTTCCCAGAAATCTTCGCGAAGAAATCCCAGGAACCCAGGTTTGGCGATTTCTCCCGTTGGAATTTTGCCCATCCTGGGTAATAGTATCTCACCTTTCAAATGAAGTTGCACTTCCACAACATAAACACGTTCGTACAAGTTTTAGGCTCTGTACAAAGGAACAGGACTGCCCATTCAGGAGTTAATCTATCTAACAATTACAGCAGGGCGGGGCGGTGGTGGTGTGCCCCTTTAATTCCTGAACTTGGGAGGCAGAGGCAGGTAGATCTCTGTGACTTCTGGTCTACAGAGTGAGTTCCAGGACAAGCTCCAAAGCTACAGAGAAACCCTGTCTCAAACAACAACAACAACAACAACAACAACAACAACAACAACAAAAAACCCAAAAAAACCAAAAAACAAAACTTCTTTATACGTTGTCTCACAGGAATTATAAGGACACTCTTTTCTGTGATTTTTCAATGGAGAATAGAAAGAATGTCCGCTCACCTCAGATCGAGCGCTAATGACAGGCACAGCAACAATTACACCTACTTCCCTATCTTCATAAAGCAATGAGTTTATAATTGTAGGGCCCAGCCAGGACAAGCTCAGTAGAGGCTGAAATCTTAGTAGTTTACCCTAAGGCAAACGGAGACTACCCAGGCACCACCCAGGTACAGAGCATCCAAAGGAAATTCCTAACATTCCAACCATTGTAGATAGGACCACCTTCCAGCACACACCCAGCCCTTTTCACCAGGACACCCCTAGACAAATGTCAGCCAATCGGGATTCCTTATCCTTAGAAATCCCTCACCCCCCACCTTTTATACTATAAAAACCCAACCCACACTGAACTCGGGGGCTCTCTGATCACTCTGATACGTTAGACACGTGTGGAGAGTATGAGTTTGCAAACTTGTGTAAGAATAAAGGCAAGTCTTTGCTTTTACATACAGGACTGGGTCTCCTAGTTGGTTTTGCAGGCGGGGGCGGGGGCACTCCGTGATCTGGGCATAACAATCACTGGGAGTGCAGACAGGAGTACAGATGAGGACCAGGAACACAAATGGCTCAAGGCAGCAGCATCAACAGTACTAAAAATCTGTCCTCAGAGTGAGAACTCAGGAAAGTTGCATGGCTTCTGCTCAGGGCATGACTTGCAGGCAGCTCCGCTGATGAGGGGCTTTCCTCTCCTATAGTCCTTACTGTTTATATAGCCATTAGCTGCAAGGGTCTCATGAATCATGCAAACAACTATGAGTTCCCCATGCCTATCGCTTGCTCATTTCCCCAAGGGTAATGAGGCCCCCCTCCAGAATGAAATGTGTCTCTTCAGAGGAAATTGTTGTTGGTCAGATTACGTACACAGCCCTGATGGAGGGAGTGATGAATGCTTCTGTCTGTACTGCTTATACTGTCAAGGGCTGACATCCAAAGGACAGAGCCAGGGCGTGTTTACATGGGATCTCTTGCCTAAGAGCCACAGCAGCTACCTAAGAGCCATTAACAGAGGTTTGACTCCTAAATGATTTCAGGTCTTATCAACTTACCATTCAGGATTCTGCACAACTGAGTCTGAAAGCCAGGCACAGGATAGGTGATCTCATCATACATAGGTGTCATAGGAGTGAGTCTCAGAAATACATATCTTCAAAGTTTACCTTGGAATATGGCCTTTTCTTGAACATAGGAATAGGTGTTTGTAAGATTCTCCAAGATCTACCTGGACACGAGGTGATACTGGGATGACCAAGGTCCACCTGGTCCTGCCTCCATTCCCGTTTCCCTAAACACTTCTCAGTCCAGTAACCTTCTTCCACATTTACATGGATTATGCTGTCTATAACCCATGTCTTAAGGCTTGAGGGACAAGCAGTTTTCCATATCAACCTGCTTACTGTCTCTGGACATCTGGCTGCCGTCTTAATTGCTCTCTGAATTTTATACATTGTTTATCCTGTTACTTATAAATGCATTCACTGTTTAGCAGCCTCGCTGTTCCCCATTTCCTACGATATCAGACATTTCTTCTCAAGATCCTCAGTATGGGTATTTGGATATATATATCGTTGTGTATGAGGTTGTAACTTAACCCATAGCCCTCTAATATCATGTGAGTGCTGATTCAGCTAAAGACAAAACAATCATGCCCTTATTCTTACATAATAGACCAATCTTTCAAAAATGTAGGGGCACAAGTGGGCCAATGACAATCATCCCTCTTCAATTTGTAATGTAATTTAGTCCGTGTGGGGGTTCTCAGTGTGGTCACAGTGGCCCTCGGAGCCACTTTCTGTAGTCATGTTCAGTCTGAATGTGCTGCCTCCTCTTCTACTATAATCTCAGCTTGAGATGGCACCGACTCTGACAAACAGGTGCAAGGTGAGGAGACAGGAAGTGGGCTGCTTTCTAGTGCTCACGACCACCCGTGGTGGAGGCAGGAAGGACCACCCCTGGCAGAGGCAGGAAGGACCACCCGTGGTGGCAGCAGGAGCTGCGGTGGTGTTGGCAAGCTTGGACCATCCTCTCTATACTTTTTTCCCTTCTGAGACCACAGGCATCAGAAAGCCTGTTTTACTAAGGGTTTCTATTGCTGTCAAGAGACACCATGACTACGGCATCTCTAATACCTTCAATTGCATGGCTTACAGTTTCAGAGGTTTGGTCCCTTATCATCATGGTGTGTCATGGCAGTGTGCAGGCAGACATGGTGCTGGAGAGTTACCTGAGAGTTCTATGTCTTGTGCAGACAAAAAGAAGTAAATTGAGACACTGGGCATATCTTGAGCACAGGAGACCTCAAGGACCACCACCACCGTGGCACACTTTCTCCAAAAAGTCCACACCTACTCCAACAAAGCCACACCTCCTAACAGTGCCACTCACAGTGTTCTCACAGGAGCCAATTCCATCCAAACATCACAAAAGCTCATCAACCAGGGAGGCCAGGGGCCAAGGAACTGCAGCCAGGGAATGTGGGGCCACCTTTTCAGTGCTAGTGTGTTACCTGTGTGGTTCTCAAGGTAGAAAAGCTCTTCTGGGTCCTAATGCCAGCTTTTTCTGCTAGGTCTCTAAGTAGGCTTCCTCTAGCTGAGATAGGATATTTATTCCCTTTGTCCCTGAGATTTCCTTGCTTTATGACTATGGTCTGCCTTGCTTTCTGTCCCAACAAGCCTGGCTACTCTTGGTTTTGTTCCAACTTTTCTATTATAGAAAACAATTGTCTTTTGGGCATGGGCAATATTACAAACCTATGAACTGAAAAAGTTGGTTCTGAAGCTAGGATCTGGCGTCCCTACATCAGATGCAGGCATGCGCGTCTGTCAGGTCTAAATCTCCTGCTCTGACGCCAAGGCAGGGGAAAAAAGATCAACCAGCAGCCAAGACAAAGACCTTGTGTGTTCCAGAACACCTGGCGGGTAGGTACATATGTGGACGAAGGAATTTTCATCTCATGGAATAAAGGTGTTTGTAATAAAAACAGGTAATACATAATGAGAGTAAGAGAGACTGTCTGTCAGGAACAATTCCAGCATTGTAGGTTTAGCAGGGCTCCCTCAGCAAACTTCTGTTAGATGCTGTTGAAAGACCTGGATAAACCCAGACCCCTCTAGCAGAAAAAATAGAGCCAAAAACTTAAGCAGGGAGAGAAGAATCAAAAATCTGGATTAGTTGGTTCAGTGACTCTGTTCCAGGAACTAGCTGAAGATAAAGTTAGATTATAATCTTGAGAAACAGGGAGTTACCCCCTTGTGATTATCACTGGTATTTTCTTTTTTTTTTTTTTAAATATTTATTTATTTATTAAGTATACAATGTTCTTTCTGTGTGTATGCCCGCAGGCCAGAAGAGGGCACCAGATCCCCTTACAGATGGTTGTGAGCCACCATGTGGTTGCTGGGAATTGAACTCAGGACCTTGGGAAGAGCAGGCAATGCTCTTAACCTCTGAGCCATCTCTCCAGCCCCATATCACTGGTATTTTCAGAATTTTCCAATGACGCCCTCTCTACCCCATTTGGATTATTGTGTTATGGTTTCTTCCTTTTAATACCCCTTCTCCCAGCTACTCAGGATCGAACTCTCTATCTCTATATGGGAAATGAGCTTTGGCCCCAGTGTACTGTTTCCTGTCAATAAACCCTGTGTGATTGCAGCAAGGACAGTCTCTCGTGAGTTCCTGGGGGTCATGTTATCCCGAGACTTGAGTGAGAGTCTCCCCACTCCAGGGGTCTTTTACTGTAAATATATATTTAATAAGGATTCTGACAAATAACTCCACGTGCTGTATAAGCCATAAAAACTGTATTGGAATCTGACAGTGCAAGAAAGTTAACAGTATATACACAGGGAATGCACACTTATTATATCACCCTGCCTGTGTGATTCGGGTTCCTTTATTAAAATAATACTGAACCACAACTTCATAGTGAAACAACTGCCAACTTCACAACACCAGCTGTGCCCATTCAAAATAATCACTGTCCCACGCTATCGTCTCGCCAGCAAGAACCACGCGGGACACTAGGATTCTTCTGCAGAGAAGCTTTAATGCATCTTGAGAGAGAGAGCATAAGCTAACATGGCCGGGGACCCAGAATGAGGGGAACCCATCCCTTATATAGGAAACAGTCCTCGCTTCGGACGTGTCACTCCTGGATTGGTCTGCTGCCCATCAACCCAGATGGCGCCTCGGGAGTAGGCGGGGACGCAGCAGTGGAAAATTACCAATTACATGCGCATTATCTTGTTCACCTGGCGGTGAAACCGGATGCCAGCGCCATCCTGTAATGGAGAATATGGTTGCGGCCCTCCACAAATCACATCTGGCCTCCTTCAATGTCTGCATGCTTCAGAAAGGAGAGATGAACAAATCATTGAAAAATAACCTGAGTATCCTTGGAATATGCAGCTGGCTCAAAATGCATGAGGCCTTAGGGTTTACTGTAGAAGCAAGGGTATACAGGGCACAAGCA